ATTATTATTATTTTTTGAGACAGAGTCTCCCTTTGTTGCCCAGACTAGAGTGAGTGCTGTAGCATCAGCCTAGCTCACAGCAACCTCAAACTCCTGGGCTCAAGCGATCCTTCTGCCTCAGCCTCCCGAGTAGCTGGGACTACAGGCATGCACCACCATGCCCGGATAATTTATATATATATATATATATATATATATTTTTAAGATATATATATTTATTTTAGTTGGCCAATTAATTTCTTTCTATTTATAGTAGAGACAAGGTGTCGCTCTTGCTCAGGCTGAGCAACTCCTGCCCATGAGTGATCCGCCAGCCTCGGCATCCCAGAGAGCTAGGATTACAGGCATGAGCCACCACGCCTGGCCTGTCTATCATTTTTTATCTGCCTTTTCTCAGCAGTACTTCATCTCCTTGAGGTCAGGAATCACACTGGTCTTATATATCATTGTAGTTCAGCATTTAGTATGGGCTCGAAAAATATTTATTATGTTAATAATAATGTTATTCAGAAAGAAATACTTATTGAGCATTTAATATGTGCTAGGCAATGGTACTAAGTGTTAATATTTTGAGTGTCACTATGTCATGCAAATGAAGACCATGACCAAATGTGATTCGCTTATGATTTAAAATGTTTCAAAAAGACATAGAAGTACAGGTATATGCAAATGTCCTGTCCCTCTCTCCTACTGAGACACGGCCTCACACCCTCCTCATCAGCCCCCCACCACTCGTTCTTCTCCTTTATCAGCATCATCAAGAAAGGAAGGAAACAGTAAAGAGCAGGGTACCCAGTACAGAAGCGAGCAGGAACATCACTTAGTTTTCATTTTTTCTTTTCTAAATCAGCCTCTGTATAGACAGTTTCCTGGTTTAATAACCACTGACATTTCTTTGTATTTGTTCACCCAGTTTTTCTAAATACTACTTTGGTGATATTTTAGAATCAAATAGCTAGAAAATGTTCCTTAACTAGCCAAGAATGAGTATCTAATTACAGAATGTATAAATGTGTCCCTTCTCAAGGATGCTCACACTTTATTTAAGATGATTTTAGATTTACAGTTGAGTTGCAAAATCAGTAGAGTTCTCTGATACTCTTCACCTAGTCTTGCCTAATGTTACATAATCAACTCTGGCTGATCAGCTTTGACTTTACCATTTTGCTCTTCCAGGTCCATACTCCACCTTATATACCCTCTAACATGCCCCTGGAGGCTGACCAGAATGTATTTTATCAGAGGGCTCCCTCTCTCTCTTGTTTCCCATTGGGATCAACCAATGAAAGAAGAGATGCCAGAGGGTAGGGTATGTATCACACCCCACATACCCTCATGACAACTTGTAGAAGCATCCCTTTACCAAAGGCCACAGAAAAAGCACCTGCTCCCACTATTCAGCTACAGCTATACTACCTGGGTTGCTTCTCATCGCCCTATACCTTCAGGCCTAGTAGTGGTAACAGCTCTCTGCCTTCATTAGTCATAGGATCCTTCGCTGTCCCTAGTTCTTTCCTTAACCCTGCCCATCTTCTTTAAAATAATCCCTTCATTAAATTTTACTCAACCCCCCAATTGACTGTGTGCTATCTCATTTTATCCAGGGACAGCGACTAATAATCTACCCAAATTGATACTAATTTAAGGCCAGGCGTGATAGTTCAAGCCTGTAATCCTAGCACTTTGGGAGGCCAAGGCAGGGGGATTGCTTGAGTTCAGGAGTTCAAGACCAGCCTGAGCAAGAACAAGACCCCGTCTCAACTAAAAATAGAAAAATTAGGCAGGTGTTGGGCATTACAGCAGTGCACCAGTAGTCCCAGCTGCTCAGGAGGCTGAGGCAAGAGGATCCCTTGAGCCTAAGAGTTGGAGGTTTCAGTGAACTATGATGATACCACTGCACCCTATCCAGGGTGACAGAGCAGGACTCTGTCTCAAAAACAATAACAACAACAAAACTCTTAAAATTGACTTCCTCTAAGGGAATACATCTTCCTACTCACCTCCTTCCACACACAAAGTAGAGATTATGTACATAAATGTTTCTCCCAAGAGGAATTCCAAACCACATTTAAGCCCACGTTCATGAATCAAATACTGAAACTAGTCCACATTTCTACCTTAATCAAGAGTCAAAGAAACTCTGTTTCCAATGATGGCATTGAAACATAAGATGACATATACAGCTGTCGTCTATACATGAAAAAATTCTAGTGATCATCAGTGGGGCTTAAATGGGAAACTGATGCTAGGCTACTTGCCACCCACCTGGCCCACAAACATCTGATATCCATTCTGGCCTGTAGAGTGCTTTGGACAGAAACTGTCACTTCAGCTAGAGGAAGACTCTCTACTCGGGGATGTGAGAATATTATTTATGGTCTTAAATTTTGAAGCACAATAGAATTCATGTAGGTAGCAATCTATTAATAGATAATATACTTTTTTAAAAAAAAATAGATAATATACTTTTTAAAGAGGAGAGGTGTGAGACATACCAGGCCATTTCAGCCCCACAGCTGGGTTCAGTAGTTAGGAGGTACAGTGTAGAATGGAAGGAGACTCAAATTCTACACCCGCTTTCTTTTCTTTTCTTTTTTTTTTTAGTCCTAGGTTCTCCTTGAATACACCCGCTTTCTTTAATCAGGCTCTTCATCTATCCGACTACATTCTAAGAGATGATGAAGATGAAAAGTCAGTCATGATACCTGTAACATCCACCCTAACAAAGAGCAGGTGACCCAGGAGATTTGAAGATCTAAGAGGACAGAGTCAAAGGAAGCAGACTAGATCTCTGGTGTGATGCCACATGCAAAGACAGAGGATTATGATAGGAGACCAAATGGTAACCTGTACATTCCCAGCATGGATCATCTGGGTAGCATACAGCTGGAGTGCTGAAGTCCTCACACATAAAACCTAAAGTTGAAAGTTGTATTCTTCACCCACTCTCCCTCCCAAAACACAGGTATCATTTTCTTAACATCTCCATCAGGGTTATATAATATTCTACACCCGCTAGTTGAATTTCACACACATGAAGCTAAAATCTGAAAGTATTTAGCATTTCTACTGAAGGAAGCTTTCTTTGAAAAAGAAAATAAAATTATGTCTAAAAAAATTTCTTTAAAACATCTTAAAATGCCAAACCAGAAAAAGGGAATTTTTTTTCCTTTTAGAACATTTCCCTACTCTTGTACAATAATCATTAACCATAGAAGAAAGTGAGCAACAATTCAGTTCTGCTTGCTGTGGCAGATGAAATTTGGCCACCCAAAGACACTTTAAAAAAAAAAAAATGTCAGAGTTCACTGCCATGATTCCAAAAAGCAACACATGGTATATTTACTTCTGAAATTTATTTCAGGTGACAGGACACCCACAGACTAACAAGATAAACATAGAATTAAATAGCATTCCCAAAGTCCAATTCTACTTCCTAGAAAAGGCCAGAGAAGATTTAGCTACCAATCCTGGTCTGTATTAGTTTCTCCAAGTAGTCTATCACTTCCTCCTGCCCCTCCTCACCAAATCTGAGAGCCATTTATAACAGTAAGACTGAAGCTATTTCTTGCTTGAATTTAAGACAAAATGCCTGACATGGACATACCCAATACAGAAAGTGTAGAAGGAGATTAGGAACTATAAGTGGTGCTTTTAATGATACACTTTTGTAGTTGTTGGAGGAGAAGGTTAAAATAGGATGGATGGATCAATATGAAGAAGAAAAACAGAAGAGGGTTTTTACCTTAAAATTTATCTTAAAAATAACCACTACTCTATTTGTCTGGGCCCACTGAGAATTTGTGCCAAGCAATTTCATTCATTTCACAGTGCCTAGCACATTGCTGTCTGTGCAGTAAATATTAAATAAATACTTGTTGGTTGACGAAAATGTACATGGAAATGCTGTGTATACACAGGAAACAGAAACTGAAGGTGGTCAGACAGATTTGAAAGCAATGCAAGGTTTAGTTCTCCGTGTCAATATTTTCAAGTTACACAACTGGGGGAAAAAAGTAAGATACAAATTCTGCCACATGTATAGTTCAACATGTTCCTCTTTGAGTGTTAAAACTTTATTTGCAAAAGAAAAACTCTGATGAGGTTAAAATATTTTAAATTAAATGTAACACAATATAATTTTAAAGACCAGTCATTTTATTGCTTAATATTTTATCCTGAATTTAAAAGGTAACTTGCAAATATTGCTTACATTTATAGTAGCAATATACCACTGGAAATTTTAAACACATAAGCACCTATGTGCTACAGTAAAGCTAGCTTTGAACTTTTAGTGGTGCCATATGCTTTTAAATTAACCCTTCTAAATACTGTACAAATCTCATAACACAGATTGCTAGCTTATAACGGAATTAGGTTACTACTAAATACTCACAGGCACACTATAGAAAATAAGGAAAACATGCATATTCCTACAGCTCCATGAATGCCAAAATTAATGATGATATAATGGAAATCTGAGATCAAACAATTATAATTTGGCTGTGAAATCTCAACGATTTACACATTTTAAGTTGAACTAAAATGTCTAAGGACTTTTTTTTTTTGGAGGAAAAATCACACATTTTAAAAGAGTACTTAATGGAGAGTCTATTAAAATCACAATGGATCATAGCTGTCAACTTCAAATAGTGCCTTTATCCTAAAGAGCTTAAGTTTACACACTGGTGCAACAACATCACAGATGCAGATGCTACAAGGAGAGCTATAAAGAAAAACAAATTTTATTCACAACACTTTGCATATAAACTTTTCCTTCTGCAGACTTGTGTGGAGTTAAAAATAAAGGATGCTAATATGCACATTATGCAGCACATCAAAAAAGAGAGAAAACACTTTAGTTGAGTGAGAATTCATTTATCTACTGAAAATCTGGGAGAATGCACATCCACTGTACTGCAAATTTACCCCCAAGTGACAGAAAAATACTATATGAAATGGAAAAATAATTACATATTATTTAATCAACAGCTGATTACCTTTAAAACTTTGGGCTTCTTTTCCCTCTGGGGCCTCTTGTTTTCCTTTATAACCTAAAAAAAAAAAAAAAATCAAATTGCAAAATGAGCCTCTGTTTAAGAAATAAAATTAGCTCCCAGCCCCAAAAAATTTTTGGCTATTTCTCTGTAAAACTATTTATACCATTTAAAATCATCAACATGTTTGCTAGGCAGAACCTAAAGAGTTTATGTAAAATGTATACTTTAAAAGTCACTGAAAAAAAATCTTGCATAAAGATGAAGTAGGGAAATACCCTTTTTTCCCCTTAAAGTCTGTCTTAATTAGCCTCTGCATTCTTCACAGCGAAGCCCACGAGGTAGCCATCTTGCTTGCTTCTGCAGAGGAAGCCTCTACAGTGGAGCAGTTCTGCAAACTGCTTTTTGGTATTATTATCATGGTGTTTAAAGGCAGCCCTGGCCTGCCAGCACTGTAGACGTGCTGGGCATGCCTTTTGCAAAAACAGCCCCACAAAGAGTGCAGCCAATGGCAATGCAGAGCTTAGCAACTCCAAAGTGATCTTCTCAGCCTAGCCCTTCCTAGACAAAGGATCTCCTGTGCGGCTGGGCTCTCACCACAGGACACAGGCAGCCACAAGCTGCGACATGGAGTTCGCTGCAGAGGATCTGGTCGCGCTGAAATCACAGGAGGCTTCAGCAAAAACAATGCACACAAATCCCCCAGGTTGCCACCATCGGATCGATGGCAGAGTCTCCCTGATTAGTAACCTCTTGGTGGCTCTGAGGGCAGGTCTGCACAGGGTGGGGGTGCGCTGCTCTGCCTCCAATGTACAGGAGATATAACCGAGCCTAGGGGGGTATTTGGGCTTGCTGAAACTCTGGAAGGTATTGTGCATTTTTACTTTATAAGGCAAGGCTAAATATTGGCGATATTTAAGGCAGGGAGGTTATGTGAGGACAGTGTAGGCTCAGCTGTTGGGCTGCGTGTCTCATTCCTCAGGAACCACACCTCTTTGCAGCAGGCGCTTTGCCCAGAAACACAGCAATTTGATTTCTGTCAATAAATGTCCAATGACAACAACGGATTAAAAAATAACAATAAAGCCACTTAAAAGGAAAAGGACAGGAAGAGGACTAGGAGGGAGGAGGAGTTTCCAAAATACACTTGCCACTCTGAGTGGCTGGAGAGAAAAGATTTTTCTCTCTTGCTCTGGGCATTTCTGGTGACCTTTCTCTCTCAACGAAATCTCTGCCCTACTAGAAGGAGAACTTGGACTCATACTTTTGGGGGGGAAAAAGGACACCTTTGGCTTCTGTCTCTCCCAAGATCATTAACTGTCACTGAGCATCTCTCTGCAGAGCTGCCAAACAAGTCCCCACGTGAAGTCTGTCTGCGCACCAGCCTGGCGGTCAGACAGAGCCACCCGCTTCCCAGAGATTGGGACCTGAGCCAGGGGTGGGACAAGCCACTATCTCCCTCGACACACCTGGAATGCCCCTATGCCCAGTGGGTGGTAAGCACTGGAAGAACTGGCAGCACAGTTGGCACCTGCCAGACACTGGGAAGGGTAGAACCAGAGGAGTCTCCCTCCCTGTAGCCTTCTGGCATTGCAAAAGTGGCAGCAGAGGACCAGGGCAGCTGCAATGAGCTGGCTGGTCTCAAGGTCACTGCCAAAATGCAGTGTGGAGGATCGTCACAGTCCCATCACAGCTACCTTGACAGCTGCACAGATCTTGGGAAGACAGCCCTAGCTCCAGCCTCCCAGGGCCAAAGTTTCAGCAGCACATTTGGGGGATTGGCAGGAAGGACTCCTTGGCTGCTCAGCCAAAGATGGGTTTTCCACTTGCAGTTGGATTCAGAACAGATTCCCACAACCAGAAATCAGGAACAGAGTGAGGGCCGGAAGGCCTGCATTTCATCACCCTTGATTCCTAGCCCTTCAGTTTGCCACAAAAGGATGATTTTCTCGTTGGAATGGGAAGTCCAGCGTACGTTGTTTTCCCACTTTTAAACTACCTCTCCCTCCCCCTAATTTTTAGCAAATTCATGTAAGAAAAAAAAAAACTAATGGGTGTGGTGTTCTCAACTCTTCCTTAAACACTTGTAGCAAAACCAATGAATTCTGACCTAACCACATCCACCGGCCCAACTCCAAACACACTAAGCCCACACTACCTCTAAGAAGCTCTCTGTGAGGAATAAAGCAGCCACGAAACAGGTAGAAAACAGGACCCATACAGTAAGTTTTGAAAATGGGTACAAAACCTTTTAGCTTTACATCTTTTTCTTTCTTTCTTTTTTTTAGTGATTTTTTTATTGTGGTAAAATATACATAACATAAAATTTACTCTTTAACTATTTTTAAGTGTATAATTCAGTGACATTAAGTACGTTTACAATGTGCAACTATCACCACTCTCCATTTCCAGAACCTTTCCACCCTCCTGAACAGAAACTCTCTACCCACTGAACAGTATCTCCTCATTTGCCTTGACAGCCCCTACTAAATTCTATTCCACTTTCTGTCTATAAAATTGACTATTTGTGGTACCTCATATAAACAGGCTCACACAATATTTACCTTTTTGTGTCTGTTCACTTAGCATAATGTTTTCAAATGTCATCCATGTTGTAGAATGTAACAGAATTTCATTCCTTTTTAATAAGGCTGAACAACATTCCTTTGTGTGTGTGTGTGTGTGTGTGTATATATATATATATACACATATATAATGCATTTTGTTTATTCATTCTTCTGTTGTGAGACATTTGGGTTGTTTCTAGCTTTTGGTCATTGTGAATAATGCTGTTACAAATATTGGCATACAGGTATCTATTTGAATCACTGAGCATATACCTGAGAGTGAATTGTTGGATCAGTCTGTTTAACTTTTTGAGGAGGTACCAAACTGTCTTCCACAGCAGCTGCACCATTATACATTCTCGTCAGCCATGCACACAGAGTAGCCCTATGTTTCTTAAAGTGTCTTGCATTTTAATTACATATAATATTATGCCTCCTCCTTTGAATATTTGAATATAATTTTTAAAAACCATCAACATTTTTTTCAGGTTAATTATTCATTATTTAGTAAGGTGGCCATGATAGATTATGATATAATGATGTGTGTGTATATATATAATATATATGCATCTATACATATATGTGTATATGTATATATGAATTTATTTTTCTAGAAATAGTCTTGCTCTGTCACCCTGGCTAGAGTGCAGTAGCATCATCACAGCTCACTGCAACCTCAAACTCCTGGGCTTATGAAGTTCATCTGGCTCAGCCTCCTGAGTAGGTGGGACTACAGGTGTGTGCCACTACGCCTGGATAATTTTATTTTTTGTAGAAACAGGGTCTCACTCTTGCTCAGGCTTGTCTCAAGCTCCTGGCCTCAAGCAATCCTCCCACCTCGGCCTCCCAAAGTGTTAGGATTACAGGCGTGAGCCACTCCTCTCGGTCATAATTGTTTATTTTAAATTAATCCATTACCTGTGTGATCTATACATCTGATTCACTAAGATAAAATAAAATCAGGCTCAGAGTATGAGGTGTACTGAAATATACAATGGTGAGAAGTCCATGTTTTAAAGCCCCATAGACATGCATTTCCACTGAGTAGAATACTCATGAAACCAAACGACATTGTAGTTGGCAATCTAAGCAAACGTCAAAGGTCTGTGTGCACCGTTCTGTAAAATTAGTTAATAAATAAAAGCAAAGCTCATCCTAGCTATATATTAAAGTTAATGAAAGTGACCAGAGCTAACATTAATTCCAAATATCAAACTGATACTACACCATGAAGATCTCTCCTTGTTTGAACACAGAGTAGATTGCTAACATCTATTGGTTCTGACCATCTGTTTCAATTCCTATACTTAGTGATTTGATGGTCTCATCTCAGGGCTTAGGCAACAGTGAGTTGTTCTTTTGGTTTTTTTTTTTTTTTTTTTTTTTTTTTTTTCTCACTTTGTTGCCCAGGCTAGAGTGAGTGCCGTGGCGTCATTAATAGGCAATTTTGCTAATGAAATTGTTCTTTCCTATGACACACTTGATATTTTCAATATTTTTTTTTTTTTTTTTTTTTTGTCCTTTTGGTTTAAAAAGTTTCACGTCTTGGTGCCTTTTGTGTGATGCGCCTTGCTGATGGCTTGACATGTG